AGCAGAAGGAAAAGAAGAGGAAGAGTCTCCAGCAGCCTCATAGCTTACACAAAAACTTCAACATGCATCATTGCCTTAAATGTAAAACGTAAAACTTTCAGAAATTAAATAGGACAAAATCTTTGGGATCTAGCACCAGATGAATTGTTCTTAACACCTGACACCAAAAGTATAACCTCCGAAAGGAAAAAAATCCGTAAATTGTAACTCAACAAAATTAAAAATTTTGCTCTGGACAAAAATAAGTGAAGACTTTGAAAACACAAGATACAAAATAGAAAAAAAATACTTGCAAATCACAGATTCAGCAAGGGTCTAGAATCTAGACTAGACGAGGACTAGAATACATTTTTTAAAAGCATAAAACTCACAGTAAATCAACAACCCAATCAGAAAATGAGCAAATGACATGAACTAAAATTTCACTGAAGGGAACAGATGTAACAAACATGTCCATGAAAAGGTGTTCAACATCACTAGTCATCAGAAAAGTGAAAATTAAAATCACAAATTACAAGGAGATGTCACTACGTGCCTATTGGAATTAGTAAATAAAGCATGGCAACAAAACAAAGGCTACAAAGCATGCAGAGAACCTGTAACACATACATTGCTGGCGATAGTGTAAAATGAAGCAACTATTCTGTAGAGTGATTTCACAGTTTCTCTCTTTTAAATATTTATTTATTTATTTATTTATTTATTTATTTGAATGAAAGAGTTACAGAGAGACAGAGGCAAAAAGAGAGTGAGAGAGTTATCTTCTGTTGGCTGGGTCACTCCTCAAATGGCAGTAATGGCTGGAGCTCAGCCAATCCCAAGCCAGGATCCAGGACCCTCTTCTGGGTCTTCAGTGTGGGTTCAGGAGCCCAAGGACTTGAACCATCTTCCACTGCTTCCCCAGGCCATAGCAGGTAGCTGAATCAGAAGTGTAACAGCTAGGACTTGAACTGGCGCCCATATAAGCTGCCGGCACTGCAGATGGTGGCTCACAGCACCAGCACCTACAGTTTCTTATAAAATTAACACTCATATGACCCAGAAGCTACGCTCTTGGACATTTAACTTATGATTATAAAAAACCTATAGATTATCTGTGTGCTGTACATGAATGTTCATAGAGGCTTCATTTCTTTTGTTGTTGTTGTTAAAGACTTATTTGAAAGTTAGAGTTACAGAGAGAGGAGAGGCAGACAGCGAGCGAGCGAGGGAGAGAGAGGGAGAGAGAGGTCTTCCATCCACTAGTTCACCCTCCAATTGGATGCAGTTGCCAGAGCTGCACAGATCCGAAGCAAGGAGCCAGGAGCTTCTTTACAGTCTCCCACACAGGTGCAGGGGCCCAAGAACTTGAGTCACCTTCCACTGCTTTCTCAGGCCATAGCAGAGAGCTGGATCAGAGGTGGAGCAGCTGGAATTCAAACTGGCACCCATATGGGATGCCAGTATTGTAGGCGCCAACTATACCCGCTAAGCCACAGCATCAGAACCCAAATATATTTCAATGGGCAAATGGTTAAAGGAACTGCAGCAATCCATTTCATGGGACACTATTCAACAGTCGAAAGGAATCAAGTATTGATACATATAATATTCATATCTAATTATGCTAAGTCAGTCTTCAAAACTTACATATTGTATGGCTTCATTAGTATGAAATTTTTACATGATAAACTTTAAGTGGCTGTCAGGTGTTATATGTGAGAACAGAGGGAACCAGGTGGATGTGATTGTCAAAAGGCAACATGAGAAAACTTTGTGATGATGGAAATGTTTCTTACATGGCAGCAGATACAGGAACCTACATGAATGTAGATATGTGATAAAATTTCGTAGCACTAAATACATATGCATACACAAAATTCATACTTTTTTAAATTAAGGAAAGGAAAAAAGAAAAATAATACTAATTTTACAGTACAATTGTCTCCTGGCATTCATGGGCATTCAAGGACACTCATTTCCCCTGCTCTTGCCACTAAAAGATACCAAAATCTGTGGATAAAACAGTCTCTTTTAAAAATTGCTGTAATGGGGCCAATGCTGTGGCGCAGCAGGTTAAAGACCTGGCCTGAAGAGCAGCATCCCATATGGGCAGTGGTTCTAGTCCTGGTAGCTTCTCTTCCAGTCCAGCTCTCTGCCCTGGCCCAGAAGGGCAGTGGAGGATGGCCCAGGTGCTTGGGCCCCTGCACTGCATGTGAGACAAGGAATAAGCACTCCCCAATTGCCCATAACGGCCAGAGCTGTGCCAATCCAAAGTCAGGAGCCAGGAGCTTCTTCTGGGTCTCCCATTGGTTGCAGAGGCCCAAGGACTTAGGCCATATTCTATTGCTTTCCCAGGCCATAGCAGAGAGCTGGATTGGATGTGGAGCAACGGGGACTTGAACCGGCGCCCAAATGGGATACTGGCGCTGCAGGCAGCAGCTTTATCCACTATACCACAGTGTCAGCCCCCTAGAGGTTACTCATAATATCTCATACAATGCCAATGCTAAATAAATAGTTGTTACCAATATTCCATCATAGGTTATTCCTTCATAGGTTAACAATAAAATTAATGGTGAAAAATGGAAAATCAAGTCACTGTACTTGAGAAAATATATGAAGAAACATACCTACTAAGGAACTTGTATTCAAAACATAATTTGAAAGTTATAATTTATTAATGGATGAAACCAATTCTAAAACTGGGCAAAGAGTATAAAAAATCACTTGAATAGGGAAAATACATACATGCCAATTAGCACATGGAGCAATTCTCAACACCATTATTTATCTTGAAAATCAAAATAAAATTGCAATGAGGAATTGCCATACAATAAGCTTTCTAAAGTAAAATCGTGACATTCCAGGTGGGCAAAGACGTGGAGCAACTGAAACCCTCATACTTTTCTAGTGAGAATGTCAAAATACATGAGCACATTGGAAAACAGTTTGGCAGTTTGATATCAAGTTAAACACACACCTATTATGTGACACGGAAATCTCACTTGTAGGTGCGATTTCATCTCATTGCCCAAGGAAAATGAAAACAATATTCCAAACAATGTAAATAAAGGTCTAGAGAAAATAATACTTACAGTTGCATACAGTGCCAGCAACTGTAGTGTTCACATTTAAGAAGCCTATGGACTCTATGTCTCCTCATCTTCAGGATATATAAATCTCAATAAGAAAGACAGATTAAGAAAACACACCAGCTTGAACAAGATTTAAGGAGGATTCTTGTTTAGGGCTTCACTGAACTCAAATGTCTACTTACTGTAATCTAGTAGTAGTGTGAGAAATCAGCCCATATTACCATTCTTTCTGTACAGTTAATACAATTTGCCCCCTGGGAAATTAAATTAAGAGAGGCAAGCTCTACCGTTTCTCAAAATCTAGTTGAATGTCCCCGTCTTGCATAAAATGATTACAGATCTCTCCTCTATCACCAAGCAACATGCCTCTTGCTCTTCCAAATTTTCATATTTTTTAATTACATTTCACTCATCTGGGATTTCATACAAGCTGTTTGTGATCCATTCGACTAGAATGATCTAGTTTGTTGATCGAATATGTCTGCAATGTCCGTCAGATGAACTCTAGTACTCTAAACCAAGGAACACTTTTCCTTTTTTATATGTTTGCTTCCCATTTATTTATTTTTTAAATGATAAACAACTTTTAGAAGTTTTAGATACACAGAAAAATTGAGACAATGGTACAGATAGTTCCCATACACCATGCACTGTTTCCCATACCATCAGTATGTATACTTTACTATGTCAGAGAAAATTAATAAAGTTAAAATTCGTAGACATCTGGGTTTGTGGTTTCAACTACAAACAACCACTAACGCATGCCCTGTACTTATTAATGTGACTGGCACACAGCAGCTCTTCCGTGAATGTCCCTTAAAAGAGTGACTAAAATTCACAATGATTCTTTTTTTTTTTTTTTTCATTTTCAAGATGCCCTTTATTGGGCCAACCCATTTCCTTAGGGATAGAGAGAAAAAGAAATCGGTGATGTGCCTCACAGAAGAACTCCTCCTCCACTATTTATAGGATTTTTTTTTTTTTTAACGTTAAAAACTGACTAGGAAATATCCAGAAAGCCCTACAACTGTCTGACAGCCAGCATTCAGACAAGATCAGGCGCGTTCAGGGTGGTATGGCCGTAGACATGATAGCCAGCATTCAGAACACACGCACAGCTCCCAAGTTCCCCTGGGTGATCCCCGCCCAAGGCCACCCGTCCCCTCGTTCTTCTCCATGGCCTCAGCGGCACGAAATGGGAAGTCGTCCGCAGATTCCGTGGCCCTTGGCTGCGGCACCGTTGCTTTGTGTTCCCTTCGGAAGAACCTTGTTTCGGCTAGCAGGGTGCTGGGATGACATATAAGAGACAGGCTATGACAGAACCGTGTTTTCCCATGACAGGCCAGCTCTGAGGGGAGCCACACGCAGAGAAGAGGAGAACTACCATGCAGTGTCTTTGTCTTTTTTAGGGATTCAAGTCCAGAAGAATCCAGTTTCAGTTGCAAATGTCCCATGGAAACCCCAATAACAACACTGACAGAAGGGTTTGTCACTCAATACTTCGGTGCTAGGAACAAGACTGTGAATTTCATTCTATTGGAAAACCAAAGGGGGTGGTGTTTGGCCAGGCAGTGAGTCAGTGTGAAATTTCTGCTGAGTCAACACTATGACGTACCTGATCAGTCCCCAGGAAATTTCTGCTGACTCATCATTATCACATACCTGCTGAGTCATCACTACTATGTACCTGGTAAGTCACTGTGAAATTTCTGTTGAGTCATCACTATGACACACCTGATGAGTCCCCAGGAAATTTCTGCAGACTCATCACTATCACATACCTGCTTTGTCATCACTATTATGTACCTGGTGAGTCACTGTGAAATTTCTGGTTTGTCATCACTATGACACACCTGATGAGTCATCGTTTTGATGTACATGGTAGTCCTCAATAATTTCTGCTGACACATCATTATCACATACCTGTGGAGTCATCACTGTTATGTACCTGGTGAGTCACTGTGAAATTTCTGGCGAGTCATCACTATGACGTACCTGAGGAGTCATCATACCTGGTCAGTCCTCAGGACATTTCTGCCGACTCATCATTATCACATGACCGCTGAGTCATCAACCATCATCCACACTGGAGTATCCGAGTTCAATTCCCACCTCTGGCTCCTGACCCCAGCTTCCTGCCAGTTCCACACACAAGGAACAGCAACGAGCCAATGAAGCCCCGGCAGGGATGACACGGACGACCAGCCGATACCCCCTCTTTGGCCTTTGCGCTCGAAGCTTCCCTGTGCTCCGAGGTTACAGACATCAGCCTGGAGGAGACAGCGTCAAGTTTCCTGATGGGCATTTGTGTCCTACGTCTGCACACAAACCATAGCCTGGACACCCACCCACGAGCCCCACAGCACTGAGGCCCCCTGGCTGCTAGTTAAACATGATGGATTCGGGGTCCTGGTTGGCCATCTGGGCCATGTGTCTCAGCACGTCCTTCTTGGTGATGATGCCAAGGAGCCTCCCGCTGCGCGTCACCAGGCACTGCCGCAGCCCCAGCTTGCGGAAGATGTCCACCACGGTCTCCATGGGCGTGTGGTCCGTGACGGTGAAGGGGCTGAGGTTCACGATGCGCCGCAGCTTCAGGGGCTGCGGGCTGTTGGCCGGCAGCTCCGGGGGCTCCTCCGTGAAGTACGTGACGGAGCTGCTCACCACGCCGTCCTGCCGCTGCCGGGCATTCTTGATGGCCAGGATGAGCTCCCTCCTCTGGGCGAAGCCGATGAGGCGCTCGGAGTCCCGGGACACCACCACCGGGAAGCCGTTGTAGTCGGTGTCCTTGATGAGCGCCTCCACGTCCTCCACGGTCATGCCGTCCTGGGTGAGCACCGACAGCGGCGGCTCCCCGCGCCGGGGCCGCATGACGTCCGTGGCCAGCGTGCGGTGCGTGAACTCGTCCTTGACGTCCAGGAACGGGTACCCGTTCAGGTGGATGTGCGCCTCGTAGATGCCCTCCTTCCCGAAGGCGTCGGCCACCCACTTGCTGGTCACGGCCGCCGCCATCAGGGGCACGATGTACTCCAGGCCGCCGGTCAGCTCGAACATGATGACCACCAGGGACACGGTCATCCTGGTCACGCCGCCTAGGCACGCCGCGGCGCCCACCATGGCGTAGAGTCCGGGCGTGACGCAGTCGGCGCCGGGCCGGCACCAGTTCCTGAAGACGATCCAGTCGTGGTGATGGTAGGCCAGCTGCTCCACGCCCACGCCCACCATCCTGCCCGCCATGGCGCCCACGGCCATGCTGGGGATGAAGAGGCCCGAGGGGATCTTCATGCCGAAGGTGAAGACGGTGATGACGACCTTGAAGACCAGCGCCAGGGCCAGCTGCCACATGGCGGTGTAGACCCCGCGCCCGGCCGGCCGGTCGGGGATGTCGTCCAGCGGCCGGGTCATGTTGGGGTCGCTGACGTAGTCGCAGAGCTGGGAGGACGCCAGGGCGCCGCAGTCATTGAACAGCTCGGAGATGAGCTCGCTGGTGCTGCGCCGCGTGTAGGGGTTCGGGTAGGCGGCGACGGCCGTGACGGCCGTGACCGCCAGCACCTCCAGCACCGGGTACCGGCCCAGCCGGGTGGTCTTGCGCCTCCGGCACCAGGCGATGTTGCCGCGGATGAACAGCGCCCCCCACAGGCCCCCGAAGACGCCCAGCAGGATGAAGGGGAGCAGCTCGGCCATGTACCAGGGCGTGTGGTACTCCACGTAGAACAGCACCAGCCGGCTGTTGCCGAAGGGGTTGATGGACCGCAGCGTGAAGGCCGCCACCAGGGCCGCGAAGAAGGACCTCCACAGCGTCTTCAGGGGGAAGTAGTAGCTGACCTCCTCCAGGCTGAACAGCACACCCCCGATCGGGGCCCCGAAGGCCACGGAGACGCCCGCGGCGGCGGCGGCCGACAGCACCTCCCGCCTCTTGCCCTCGTTGCGGCTGTACTTGGAGAAGAGGCCGCTGAAGAGGTTCCCGCAGCAGCAGGCCACGTGCACCAGCGGCCCCTCCTTGCCCAGGCTGAGCCCGGACGACACCACCAGCACCAGGGTGACCGTCTTGATGAGCAGCGTCCACTTGCCCAGGTAGCCCCGGATGATGAAGCCGCTCAGGATGGTCTTGATCTCCGGGATCCCGGAGCCGCAGGCGTAGGGCGCGAAGACGCGCACCAGGGACACGGCCAGGAAGGCAAAGAGCAGCGCCCACAGGATGTACATCAGGTAGTTGAGGACGTAGGCGCTGGCCCCCTCCGACCGGTTCACCAGCAGCTCCGACCACGTCTGCCACTGCGGGCACCTGTCGCGGTCCTCGAACGTGGTCTCGTTGGACGTCCAGCAGCACTGCTCGTGGCTGTACCAGAAGGCGGACAGGCACACGCCCTCCTTCAGGTCGGTCATCCAGTCCACGGCCAGGTCGATGACCCCGGCCAGGGTGCCTGCCAGCAGCCCGATGAGCAGCATCACCGCCCACCCCGACCAGGCGTCCAGCAAGCTCTTGACGAACTCCCACACGGACTCCCTGCTCCTGCTGGTGATCTTCCTGTGCCGGTCGGTGTCCCGCGACTTCTCCCGCAGCCAGTCGATGGTGTGGAAGTCCTCGTAGGTCCCCACGTCGGGGAACGGCTCGTCCAAGAAGTCCATCAGGTTTCCCGGGCCGCTCATGGCTCCTGCGTGGACCACGACGCGACGCAGACCTCGCGCACCTGCACCGCCTCCTATGGCATCCTCGCGGCGTGCGCCGTGACGCCGGCAGGGGCGGGGCCCGCACGCCGCCGCGTGACGTCAGCAGGGCCGGGCGGGGACCCAGCTTCAATCTCACGGGTCCTTGGGGACGCGGGCGGCGAGGGCGCGGGGGATGCGGGGGACGCGGAGGACGCGGGCGGCTGAGACGCTGAGGGCGCGGGGGACGTGGGCGGCTCAGGTCCTGAAGGCGCGGAGTCCGCGGGCGGCTGAGGCGCTGAGGGCGCGGAGGACGTGGGCCGCTGAGGCGCTGAGGGAGGCGGCGACTGGCGACTCCCGGGCGGCCTCGCCCCGCAGGCCCTGTCCCAGGCGCTGTCCGCCCCCGTTCAGCCTTCCCGGTCCCGCCCGGCCACCCTCAGCCGTCCGCCAGCGCGGATCCCCGCGACTCAGCCGCCGCCCCTCTGTTCCCGCTGCGCGCCGCCATGTTGGCTCCTCGGCGCGGCCTGTAATAATTCTGGTAAGGCACCTCTCAAGTTCAGAAATCCTATTGTAACCCTTTTTATTTCCTGCAAAGTCCGCATTTGCCACTAGGTGGCGGCCATCAGCTGGACTTCTTTTCATCCCGGGCGTTAACAGGATTTTTCCGTCCACAGAGCCAGGGTTTCTTGTTTGCAGCTGGCAGAGGTCTTCTCGACTCTTCCGTCAGATTCTCACATTTTCGTCATATGTGCAAATACTTGAGTTCCTCCCACCTCCACCCCATAGTCTTTCCCAGGCTGTCTCCAACTGCTGGGGAAAAGAAGAATTTTGCTGTGGCTCGTTTGAATACGAAAGCAGCCTAGGCAAACACGTCCATTTCTCACCCTTAAGAATGTTCTTTAGGCATATATTTTGCAGGAAGGTTTTTCCCCTCTTGCCCTTCCTTCTCAGCTCTGTCTAGCTTTTATGTCCTCCACTTCTCTCTCAGAAGTTACGTGCCATTTTGTTTTACATATTTTATAAACTTTTTCATTTGGAATTGTTTGAGTTTTAGACAAGAACATGAGAAAGGAGTTATGACTAATTCCAAAATAATTAGGAAAATTTACTTAGCAAACAGAGCTTCTCAAAATATAATTTACAAACTTGGAACATTATAGATTCAGCCTCTAAAAAATAAAACTGAAAGAAAAATCTCAGTTACAAAGGATGAGAAAGAATATCAAAATACAGTGGAAATAGGAGAGTGAGAAAGCAAAGTTTAAATGCATTCAATACTTTTTTTAAAATATACTCATTCGTTTTTTGTATTTTTTTAGATTTATTTATTTGAAAGGTGAAGTTACAGAGAGGCAGAGACAGAGAGAGACCTTCCACTGCATCTTCCACTGCTTTCCCAGGTGCATTAGCAGGGAGCTGGATCAGAAGTGGTACAGCTGGACCTCAAACCAGCACCCACATGGGGTTCTGGCGCTGCAGGCGGCAGCTTTAACCATTAGGCCAGCTTCAATATTCAGTTCTTCTGGGCTGGACCCTGAAAAAATGCGATGATGACATCACTGACCACTGGCAATGAGCAGTGTAGAGTTTCCTTGTCCCTGGGGGTTTTCCTCCTTATTCTGGTCTATACACACTGCTGAGGCATTGCCTCGGGCCATTTCTGTCGCCACAGATACTAACAGCAGAGGGCTATTTGCTGCTAACTTCCCCAAAATTACCTGTCCTCTGTAATATAGACTTGAGGAGCCGGTCACCTGTGTGTATGCCCCTTCTATCTCCCAGCAAGCTCAGATTGAATATGTCCATCACCAGTGCCAGTCCCTTTGTTCTTATCAGGAGATCCATCAGGACAGAAACCTAGGAATCCTCCTCCTGCCTCACCCTACACCTAACCCATCCCTAGCCCTGCCCTGGTATCTATCACACAGCCCTTCTTGCTATCCCTTGCTTTCTGTTCTCAACATCGCCTCTCACTGGGCGTTCCGCTGCAGCCTCAGCAAATTTCCCTGCCTCCCCACCTTCCAATTCACCACCCCACACTGTTCCCAGATTGGTCATTATGAAATGATTTAGTGTGATCACCCAGCTAGCTCATCTGCTTTAAACTCTATCCAGTCTCTAAACAGAAAGTACAACTCCTCAAGGCCCTGAGTGCTGACTCAGGCCCTTGTCTACTTCTCCTGCCACTGCTCCTGACTCTACCCACACATTCCAGCCTTTCAGACACTCGCACTCAGGCAGGAGCCCTGCTCTGCCATGTTCTCATGCTTCTATTAATATTCCTCTTATAGTCTTTCTCTGGAACGCCTGTCTCTCTCTGTCTTCTCCCAGAATCATCTAAAAGACTGCTAGTCAGTCTTTAAGATACAAGTTATTCCTCCAATTGATCATTCCTTTTCTCCTGTCCTGTTATCATGTTTATACTCATAAGTCTCTTCCAGTTTCGTCCCAAGTTTAATGCCAATATTCTGGGCTCCCTGACAACAGGACTGTTCTTTAGGGAAAATACTGTACCTAGTCCTACTCTACTTAGAGTATCTCAAACAATGAATGAATGAAGAGAAAGAATATGAATGATCAAAATTTACTGACTGCTTAATAAGAGGGACACTGTGCTAAAGTTCCACCAGTATCTCATTAACTCTTTCTCAAGAGTCAGATGAGGGCCGGCGCCGCGGCTCACTAGGCTAATCCTCCGCCTAGCGGCGCCGGCACACCGGGTTCTAGTCCTGGTTGGGGCGCTGGATTCTGTCCCGGTTGCCCCTCTTCCAGGCCAGCTCTCTGCTGTGGCCAGGGAATGCAGTGGAGGATGGCCCAAGTGCTTGGGCCCTGCACCCCATGGGAGACCAGGAAAAAAAGCACCTGGCTCCTGGCTCCTGCCATCGGATCAGCGCGGTGCGCCGGCCGCAGCACGCCGGCCGCGGCGGCCATTGGAGGGTGAACCAATGGCAAAGGAAGACCTTTCTCTCTGTCTCTCTCTCTCACTGTCCACTCTGCCTGTCAAAGAAAAAAAAAAAAAAAAAGAGATGAGTGGGTTCTACAATTAGTCTATTTTGTGGATGACATGTCTTTGAGAGTTAAGGAATAGATGCAAAATCAGTACATGCAAATGAGAGGCTCAGAGTTTTCATTGGGTTTGATTGACCCAAGTTCATGCTCTTAAATTCAAATCTATGAAGAGTGAATATGAGGAAACATTACTTTGACCTGAAAAATGGTTTTAAACAAAGGAGATCATAGATTCTACAAGTCAGCTACTTGTACTGATTCCTGGGAGGAAAAGCCAGGATGGCTCTCAAGCATGCTTCATGAGTATTGAGAACCAAGGCCAAGTAGTCCTGGGCTTCACTGCAATACGGGGTGATTTCTCCACAACAAACCATCCCCTACAAACTTCCCTCTATGCTGAGCAGCAGGATGACATGACTGGCATGCCTGTGTGCAGGTGTGGGACTCGCCAACATCCTCCCCAGCTCTCTCTACCCTGTGGAGGACAAGTCAGCGGCCAGCTCCAGCTGCAGGGTGCATATTCTTTAGTCTAAGACAGGGATGCGATTCTGCAAGTACCAGCTCTGGAGTGCTTGATAAAAACTGATTTCCAGCTTCCATGTCCAGAGAGGCTGCTTCAGGATATCTAGGGGCTCAGGAGCCTGCCTCCAAGTGAATCTGTTATAGACAGGCCCAAGCCACCCTTCAGAAACAAGGCCAGAGGCAGACGCTGTGGCGCAGCTGGTTAAAGCCCCAGCCTGCAGTGTCAGCATCCCATATAGGTTCTGGTTCGAGTCCCGGCTGCTCCACTTCCAATCCATCTCCTTGCTAATGTGCCTGGGAAAGCAGAAACTTGTCCAGACTAATTGTGAGCACTCATTGCTTTGCCAGGAAACTTGGGTTAAGCCAAAAAGCATTGGATGGTAATGGTTCTTGATCTGGGTGTAAGTCCTAGGGTGATCAGTCTCCTGTGCTTGCCCAAGACTTTCTCAATTTTAGCACTGAAAATCCAATGTTCCAGAAAATTCCTCATTCCCAAGCTAATCAGGATTATTGGTCACTTTAGGTGATAGGGAAGGTGGTCCTAGTCACACAGAGAATAATCTTCCATTTATACTTTTTCTCCCTCTGGTTCCACACAAGGAACTATGTTACCCTCAGGGCTATCAGCAGCTGTCTTACAGCCACAAGGCAAGTTGCTCTGAGGACAACACATGGGAGAGGTAGAGCCAGGCTACAAACAGGCACAGCTGTAACTGAACCTCGCCCAGAGCTGTCCCTACCTCCGTGCACCAACAAATGTCCTCATTGTTGATTCCAGGTTATTTTTTAGCATTCCACCCCAACAGGCAAAAACATCCTAACCAAGTTAGTTTGGCAAACCAGGATGTCAGGGAGAACTTGAATAAAGCTCCTTTTAGATAAAATGAAGGTGTCAAAATCAGAAACAGGACCATTAGCTGAGACTGTCACTTTTAGTTGTGAATAAAGAATTCTTTTAAGTCTGTCTTAATGAAAATTATGGGGAAAAATGTGAGAACCTGAATCAATCTATAAAATATTCTATGAAAGCTGGTATATTGGCATAAATCTAACAAGATGAAATTTAATAGGCATACTGTTTAGGCCCAAAACAGTAATTAATTTCACAAGTACAGGAGGTGGAAACATGGTCTAAGAGCAGCACATGTAAAAGATTTAGGGATTTTATTTGACTATAAGCTCAATAGAAACCAACAGTGTGATGTGGTTGCCAAAAATGCTAATGTGACTGCAAGCTGCCTTACTAGAAATATAGCTAGGATTTCTCCCAGGCCACACCAGCCACAATAACTTTTACAAAACAGAGGTGTTTTGCCTTGGCAGCTACTAGTATTCTGCCTTTCAGCCCACGGAATTCTAGATACCCTCCATACCAACTCTTGCTGGGAATTCTTTAGGGTGGATTTTTTATGAACTTGTCCCTGTACTTTCTATTTGGAAATTGTTTCAATTATACATTTATTTAGGTATTTGCTTTTCACTTTTTGATGTGCCAGCTCTAATCACTGAAGAAAAACAAATAGTAGCACTACAAACTCACTTTCACCATTGCAAGCTAACCTTGCAAACCCTTCAGTAACCTCTCATTACCCCGAGACAGGGTTCTGTCTTCTTCCCCAATACCCTAATTCTTTTCCTCAAAACGTGTACCACTGGAACAGATTTCAGCCTAATGGTAAAGATGCCCATGTCTCACATTGCAATTCTTGGGTTTGATTCCCATCTAGCTTCCTGTCAATGCAAACCTTAGGAGACAGTAGTGATGGCTCAAGAGATTGTGTTCTGCACCCACATGGGAGACCTGGATTGTGTTCCTGGCTCCTGGTTCCAGCCCTGCTCCAGCTCCAGCTCCAGCTCAGCCATGGTTGCTGCAGGCATATGGGGAGTGAAGCAGTGTGTCTTTGCCTCTCAAAACCAATTTTCAAAAAAGGTGTGCATGCCGTCTCTCCCTGCAGAAACCTGGACTGTCTTTAAAATGTGATCTGAGAGGCTGGCGCTGTGGCGTAG